CCCCCCACCCCCCCCCCCCCCCGTGTTCATGTGGGCAGAAATGGGGCGAAAATGGGCAAAAATGGGCAACAACTGTGTGAAAATGAGCATCGATTGTGGAGAAAGGCTGAAATTGGGCAGAATTGTGCAAAGGTGGCAGCAAGGAGGCCAAACTGGGTGATGATTGTGCAAAAATGGGCTGAAATCGTGCAGAAATGGGCAATAATTGTGCAAAAATGGGAATCAATTGGGCAGAATTGTGAGAAAAGGAGAGATTGGGGCAGAATTGTGAAAAAGGGCATTAATTGTGCAAATAGTGGCATCTATTGCACTGCATTGTGCAAAAAAGGGCAAACATGGGCCAAAGTTGTGAAAAAAGACAGAATTAGGGTAAAATTGTGCAAAAATAAGCAGAATTGTGCAAAGGAGGCAATAATTGTGCAAAAATGTGCAAAATTTGACAGAATTTAGGGAGATTTGTGCAAAATTGTGCAACAATGTTGCAAAAGTGCAGCAAAATTGTGCAAGAAAAGCAAAAATCTGCACAAAAGCCGGAACCAATCGTGCAAATGTGGGTGAAAATGAACAACAATTGTGCAAAATGGGTCAGAATGGTCCAAAAGCTGCAGCAATCATGCAATAATTGTGTGACAGTTGTGCAACAAATGGCCACAATCTGCAATAATGGGCAAATGGCGCAAAACTGGTGCAAAATGGTGCAAAAAACGTGCAGAAGTGTGCAAAGAGGGGGCAATAATGGACACAATTGTGCAAAGAACTGCCAGGCAATGTGTGGAAGTGCCCCAGTCGTGCAAACTGTGCAAGAAACATGAGCAAAAAGTGCATGGAGTGTGTAAAGGTGAGCAAATTATTGCACGAGGTGGTGTCAAAAGTGTGACAAAAACTGCAAAGAGCGCAAAGCAGCATGTGAAGTGTGCAAAAGTGTGCAAAAGTGTGCACAGTCGTGCAAGGAGAGGGAAAAAAAGCTGATAGATGCACAGAAAGGCACAGTGTGTGTGCACAAGTGGTCCCATTTGCACAAGTGTGTGCAGACATAGGCCGGAAACGACAGAAGTGTGCACAGAAGTCAGCAAAAACGTGCAAAAAGTGCACAGAAGTGATGAACTTGTGCCAAATTAGTGCAAAAAGTTGTGGGTGGTGTGAAAAAAAAGTGGGGAAAAAAGTGCACAAAGGTGAAACCCTCGTGCAAGAGCCGTGCAGGAAAAGCGCGGAGTGAAAAATTGTGCAAAAAAGCTGCATTGTGGGTTATATTTGCACGCACGTGTGAACATCGTGCTTAAAAGTGTGCAAGAAGTGCAAACGAAGTGCTACGCACGCCCGGGTTGAGGCACAATAGTGCACAGTTGTGCGTAAAGGTGCACAATGGTGCAAAAAGTCGCGCAGTGGTGCACAGTGGTGCAAAGGATGCCCCCCGCCCCCCCTTGCACGCCCATTTTCACGCCCCCCCGTTTCGGTTCCCGCTCCATTTCCCCTTTTTTGGGTTTTTTTTCTTTTTTTTTTTTTGCATTTTTTTCTTCTTTTTATTTCGGGCCCAAATTTACCGAAATTCACCCCAAAAATGGGAACAGGGCCGCAATGCGGGGACACCCCGTGGGTCACCTCAGCCCCACAGAACCCCACAGAGCCCCATAGGGCCCCACACAGCCCCTATAGATCCCCACAGTGCCCCACAGCGCCCCACAGATCCACACTCTGCCCCATAGCGTCCCACAGCGCCCCATAGAGCCCCATAGCACCCCACAGAGCCCCATAGTGCCTCATAGACCCGGACTCTGCCCCATAGCGCCCCATAGCACCCCATGGTGACCCACAAAGCCCCACTGAGCCTCACAGTGCCCTATAGATCCATGCTCTGCCACATAGCACCCCACAGAACCCCACAGTGACCCCACAGTGCCCCATAGCGCCCCATAGATCCATACTCTACAGCCCCACAGTGCCCCACAGATTCACACTCTGCCCATAGCGCCCCATAGTGCCCCACAGCACCCCATAACGCCCTATAGTGCCCCATAGTGCCCCATTGAGCAACTCAGCCCCATAGTGCCCCATAGCCTCCATAGAGCCCCGCAGAGCCCTATAGCGACCCCACAGTGCCCCATAGCACAATTCCCAGCCCTACAGCACCCCACAGTGCCCCATAGCACTCCGCAGCCCCACAGCGCCGTACTCTGCCCCACAGAGCCCTATAGTACCATAGCAGCCCCACAGCAACCCCATAGTGCCCCACAGTGCCATATGCAGCCCCTCAGTGCTCCATAGCATCCCACAGCCCCATAGAGCCCCATGGGACCCCACAGTGCCCCACAGAGCCCCATAAAGCCATTCTCCACCCCACAGAGCCCTGTAGAGGCCCACAGCGCCCAATGGAACCATACCCAGCCCCATAGCAGCCCCATAGCATCTCACAGCTCTATAGAGCCCCATAGAATCAGACCCAGCCCCACAGTGGCCCCATGGAGCCCCACTGCAGCCCTGCAGCCCTACAGAGCCCCATAGAATCACATAATGCCCCATAGCGCCATACCCAGCCTCATAGCTCCAGCATGGCCCTATAGGGCCCCATAACCCCACATCAGCCCCATAGCACCCCACAGGACCCTCCAGCACCCTACAGGGCCCCACAGCTCCACATCAGCCCCATAGCGCCTCATAGCAACCCACAGTGCCCCACAGGACGCCAGAACCCCACAGCAGCCCCATAATGCCCCATAGGCCCATACACCCACACCACCCCATAACCCCAGCAGCACCCTAT